ATGCGCCCTTCCAGCTTATGCAACGATGCAGGAACGTAAAGTTTCTTTTCGGAGACCAGGCATGTCTTAACTGCAGACCCACTAGCACCCTCCGGCGACGTTCTCTTTAAATCGATATCACATCTGCTTTTCGATGATTTTGGTGCCATTTGTTGTCATGTGTTACAGGTCTTTATTTTCGAAACACTCCTAGCTTCAAAAAAACAATCATTATTCAAAAGTGGCTTGTTTGGTTGATCTCGGGCGGGTCTTTCCTGAAGATCCTGCAAATGCAACGCCATCTTTCTACCCGTCGCACCTCCTCATGTTTCCAGATCATATTTTCAAAAAATGGATACTTTGTAATGATTATAATAGAAGTAGGCGGAGATGAGCTAATTTTGTTGAGACCGAGCACCAGAAGAGATTATTTTGCACAGAAAGGTCATGGGTCAGGTCAGCCTTTTGTCGTGGGACGTTTCCGGAATGTTTTTGACGTGGGAAGGAAGTCCCACGTCAAAACATTCCCGAAATGTCCCTCGACGAAAAGCTCTTGTCTTTCGCCTTAATTGCCTTCTAAATATGACGGCATGCGTCATCGCCAGTGAGCTCAAGGAGGCCTAACGTAATTGCTCCAGCCGGAAGCTGCAGCGTCATTTCCTCGGCTGAGTCAGTGATGGAAAACTTCCTCGAAACCGTGGATTTCATTGGTAGGACGGCAGGGAACCTTCCCTTCAGGCAACGTCGTTTTGGTGTACGCTTTCAGTGCTCTGCCGTCCCTAAGGTCAATCAGTCAACGAGCTGTGTTGGTGTGGGTTGGAACTCTTTATACCACGAGTGATCTAGTATTGGTGGAGATCGTGCTGAAAGTGGATTGACTACTACATTTAGCAACGCGTGAAAAATTTTTTTTCTTCTTCCGCCTTTTCGTGTCCCGTTTTTTGGAAACGCACTTTATTTTGCGGACGACCATTCAAGCCAAGCCCGCCACCAAAGCTGTATGTGGTTTTGAAGAGCTTTTCTTGTTCTATCTAACAGCTAGGCTAGCTCCTGGTTTATTATCATTTAGTTGTCATTTTTTGAAGCCTTGAATACGGCATACTCCAAGAGCAAATTTGCATGATTTCCTTTTTCTAGCTCAAAGCAGGCCAGTATGGAGAGGGAGCAGGTCAAGATATTATAGACGCACTTGGCTGAGATTCGCAATAAATATGGTCTGAAGCAATTGTTCAAAAAGCTTTTGTAAGAATAGCGAGAGCCCTAAAGATTGTGAGGGTGGTGATCGGAGATTGGACAACGCCAACGATTAGTCGAACGTTCTGGTTGAAGCACGTTTGCACAAATCTATTGAGAGGGTTCCTCCTAAACTAATCGCACTTGCATTGTGTTTTCTTGTTGTACGGGAAGAGCTGGAAAGAAAATTCAAATAGGGCGTGCCGCGACAGCTCACCATTTTGAAGGGTCGTTCGCCGCGTTCTAGCTTGTTTCATGCCATGAAAACGACCTGACTTTTTGATCATTTGCGACGCACGACAAAGAACGGATTCTTTGCTACAGAATACGAACCTTTGGTGAAGTGATCGACCGCGATCAGGCTCTACAAACTTTGCAAAAGTGAAAATTTCAGTGAAGGAAGGTTGAGGTAACTTTCATAAGGTCAGCGGCTGGTCTAGCTTTTCGTAACCAGGTGGATCTGTTAATGTGGAAAAGTACTCCTGATAATGTGTCAAACTACTCCTAGAACTCTGGCACATATGCTCGAAATTCCTCATTATAAAGGAACCGGCTCGTCCCTGACAGGTAGCTCGGACGCACATTCCACAACCAACCCTGCAGAAGTTGGACAAGATTGGCTACGAATTAGTCCTGCGAACATCCTACTCGGTAGACCTTTTGCCTATAATTTGTCACTTTCTCGACTACCTGGATAGCTTCTCCAAAGAGTTATGCTTCAAAAACCAACATGATGCGGAAACGACCTCCGCCGGGTTCATCGTCTCTAGAGCTCCAGTATTCTGCACTACCGGGCTGATTCAACGCAGCTATTATTGGCAGAGGTTTGTGGATTCTAACAGTCTTTACTCCAATCAAAAAGGTTTCGAATGAGCCGAGATACAGGCATTTGAAAATCAAGGTCCAAAAGCGCAAGAACTTTCTTCACGACCTAATAATTTCGCACGGAAGCCGAGACGAAATTTTGTCATGATACCATCAGCCGTGATGTGGTGACAACCACAGGATACTGTAAAACTGGTTGCCGGTGCCAGATCTTCAAAATGCCCAATTCTGGGATAGAAGAGATTGTACAAATTGAACCCATACCCTGTGTTCCACTTGACTTCAACCCTCTTAACTAGCTATGATGGGCGGGACTCAGAAATCAGGACAAAAAATTGAGCATTTCTTGAGCTCAAGTATTAGGTTGGAAAGAAAGTTCTGCGACACCCTTTCTAAATTTTTTTTTTTCTGAAAAATTCATAGGTAACATTTATGACTAACAAATGGTAGAGCATTCTCGTGGCTTCAATCCACGAGGTGGATATAAGTGCTGCAGTCAGTAGTATATCCAAGAAAATTCAAAAAATCTCGACCACTAGCAAATCCGTACTCCGAGTCACTGTCTAGTACAAATGTCTACAAAACTATGGATTCGTGTCAACGACTGACACTATCTGCAATAGCTTCTATAGGCATGCCGTTCAGCGCTACAGCGTGTTTCACCTTTACCAGCGCTTTCGATCTTTTGATATTTTTATAAGAAACCAGCAGCGTCCCATACACTCCATTGCCGGTAGGGCTCTTACGGAAACTCAACTACAGATTCTTCTTTATGAGGCACCATTGTGTAGATAGAGGGTACTATGTAGGCTACAGAAGTCCAGAAGCTCGCGGGAAGACTGCTCGCCCAGAAGCTTTCGCTACCCGCCGACAATATGATTATTTTTCATGACATTGTGATGCGACCATGATCCGAATGCAGCCCGATAGAAGAAATTCTGGAGCTGCGGCCAAGATTTCTTACCTCTCTGAGCGTATTCCCCTGGTCGAAGCTAATAAGACTGCTACCTATCCTGGACCTTAAATCATCATCTTGATGACGAAATAATTAGACGATCAACTCCAACTCGAAAGTGAGGTCGCCTCCTTTCTCGACCCGCACTCCGCTGGGTTTTGGCGAAGGAGCATCAAGAAATTTTCTGAGCGTTGGAGACAAGTGGTGGACACTCATGGTAGATATAAGACCGGTCAGGAGTTATAAACAAAAAAGATAAATTCGGAAAAGTGTCGCAGGACTTTCTTTCCAACCTAATATAACCTCATGTTCTCCTGGGAAAATTTCCTGATATGGTTGAGCAAATTTTACCGATTCAACGTTTGAAATCAAGGAAAATGGCCTCTTTTTGCCTATACATAAAAAATTACACAACAACAAGTGAGAAAAAGGAAAATTGAGCATTAAATCACACAAAAATGTCGAAATTGAAAAAATACCGTTTACGACAAAAAATTAAAAGTAAGAATATAGAGATAAAAATGAGGATTTTTATAGTATGCAACACTAACCGTCGTTTTGCTTTCATCGAACGGATTCGGAAATTGCGACGACGGAGCACCAAGGAGATCAATAATGCCATCTGAAAAGGGAAGAAGTTCTATTGCGGAATTTTGGCATTAGACATAAACGACAGTAGAAAGTTAATGGATCAACTAGTTCGGCTCTCCGCTCGCTCCATGAGGTTTTGTATCCACAACTAGGTGCACCTCTACTGGACCAAACGACACAAGTAAACGTTAGCCGATTCCAGTTGCTCTGTTGACCGTAGCTAATTACAACAATGCCAAGCGAGTTTGGAGAGGGGAGAGGAGGATACCACGCGACGGGGCGGTCTCTCAACCGCCATGGCTCTAAGCTTGAGCGCAAGGAGTGGATAGGCCGTGAGGGTCTTTTGCTATATCGCTACATCCAACTTTTGGCACTTTTAAGGCTCCTTCCTAGGCTCATGCTTAGTGCAAAACGCTAAACAGACACCAACCCCCCCCCCTCCCCATAGCACCCTTACAACCATCATTTATTAACAATCACGTCATCGCTATCTATCACTATGAACTTCAATTATCAAGCGCCGTCTTTTTCATTGTTCGGTCTGCATTCAAAGTTGGAGCCAAATAAAAAGGGTACAATACAGTAAGTCACAGCTGTTCTCCTTATAATTTTCGCATTTCTAGTGGTCAGGCAAGAGTTACACGTGTAGAAGAACTTCTGCTTGATGGTTATGGTAACAAGCACTTCACTAACCTTGACTAGAAACTTCAGGTTTAGTCTGCCCCACCAATGGGAACAGGTCTTGCACAGAATAGCCGGAATCGTCAGTTTTGCCTTCGAGTTGTGAAGGCGGCCTAGCTACTGAAATAATTCTCAGTTAGTTAATATCAAAAAAAAAGGCTGGACAGGGGAGGGTGTACGTCCATAAAATTTAAGTGAATTATCGATCACAAATTATTACTGTCACGGATTATTCGTTTCCAATTCTATGCAAAAATCATTAAAACGCTAAAATTCGGTGAAATAAAATACGATATTACCAGACGAAGACGGTTGCGACAGCACAGTTCGAGGAGGAGGAGCCAGCAGAGGAACTTCGGCTTCCGTATCTATCAAAGTGGGCGGCAAGGGGCCAATATAAATCTGGAAAAAAATGGTATATTGTCTACAGAATAACTAATGTAATTAAGTTAGCTTAAAGAAAATAGAACGACAAATAAGAGAAAAATCCCACCTTACTGGACTGTGGCGGTTCACCTTCAACAGGTTCTGACTCGAAGTCTGCTAATCCAAGCGGACTCTCTGGTCGTTCCTCATCCGTTTCCTCGACCTTAGCCTCAACCGGGCTTTCTCGTCCAAAAAGGTACTTCTTGAGTGAGCCTTCTGGCTCGTCATCAAAGTTGAGCAGGCTGAAGGGTTGGATTTCAGCAAAGTAACGGACGGCAATTTTTTCACATCCTATTCCTGGACTAAATCACGGGTGACTATCTGGCCTGAAACCTAGGGTGGGGTAAAGTCAGGGTTGATCGTTTCTTTAGGCAAACAACGAGAGGTGAAGGGAAGGGGCGTATTTGCAGTTTTGAATTTTGAAGGGAGGACGTACTTGATAAAATTAGCATTGTGCTTGTTTCGAGCAGAATTGTGAAGAGCAATTTTTGAGAGTACTCTTTCCCCTTCCCCTTTTTAGTGGAATTTCACGGAGTTGGAATGTCACTTGAGACGATATATGATCACATTAAGACCTTCCTTGAAAGGCGTTGTAAGGGGCCCCACTCCAGAAAAAGGGGAAGGGGATCGCGTTGATCCCAAAATTGGACCAGCCGATGTTTGCCGCCGAGTAAATTCATTCAACAAAATTTTTGAAGGAAGCATCAGATACCGGATAGTCTCGATTGGATACCGCAACGGTCATGGCTGGAGCAGTGAAATCAAGAAAAAAACAGCTAATAATTTCATAGGTGACCTGAACAATTCGCCGCGCGTGCTTTCAAGGAAATATCGATTCTACGCGGGTACAGTCACAATTGATTTTTCAAAGGCAATCTAAGCGAAACTAAGCAACCAAAGAAACGATAATCGTTTGAAACTTACTTTTCCACCGGCTCTTCTGATTCCGGTTCGTTTGCTACACGTGAATACTCGGCTTCTCGGGCTTCCTTGTCCAAGCTCGCCTGTCGTACTTTTCTGGCTACTTTTTTCGATGGTTCTATTAAATCCTGCGAAATAAAAAAGGTGGTAAACTCCCCAGTGAACGCCCACATGCCGATAATTCTCTGAAAGGCTTACCGTTAGAATTTCGAATTCATAATGTTGAAACGTGGACAAATTTGCTGAAAGAGCCGAGTAAGCGCGACACGTTCTCTCGTAAAAGGCACACAGCATATCTAGATATTTCCCGAGCAGATGAGAGAGCAGGTTCGAGCGAGATGCGGACAACAGATCAACCTGAAACTTGTGTGATGAATATGATATGAGCTACATGATTCACTTGAAATACGTGACGCAAACAAGGCCAAAAATGGGGTTTTCAGCTCTCTCTACTCATCCACTCCTCTTCCTCTGAGACCGTGTGGAATGCTTGATCCAAGACCAGATCAACCCCATACTTGATTTTTTGCAAACTTTTTTTTTCCGGATTGCAGTGAATAACACGTGGCTCAATTCCAAGGAGTCATGGTGAAGACCGAGAAAATGGTTGATAGAGGCTGGCTAAGGAAAGGAACTCAACTGCCCTTCGTGGGTGGGGCATGCACCCAATGAGTGGGGTTTGCTGCCAGACACTCGGCTCCAGGAAGTTTCAGAGGACGGTACAGAGGCCGGCGGAGAAAAGGAAGTCAATTTTTATCGGTGGGCAGGGTATCAACCAATGTGGCTGAAATTGTTGCCAAGGTTAACATGGTTCCAGAAAATTCTCGAGTCCGGCGAAAAAATTGAAGGACCCTGTGAAGGGAAAAGCTCAATATTTAGTGGTTGGCGGAGTATACCCTAAAGTGAGCGGAGATTGTTTCCAGACTACTAACGCAGTTCTAGGAAGTTCCAGATCGAGAAAAAAGTGGATAGAGGCCGGCAAAGGGAAGGAAGTGAACTTCTAATGGTGGGTGGAGCATGCACCAAAGTGGGCGCGGTTTGCCGCCAAGCATATAAATCGCTCAGAGACAGTTCAGAGACCGGGGAAAACGTGGAAGAGACTGGCGAGGAAGAAAAAGGTGGGTGGGTAAATCGGTCTAGAAGCAGTCCAGAGACCGGGAAAAGCGGAACAGTGGTTGACGAAAAAGGGAAGGTCAAAAGCCATCGGTGGATGGGGCATGGGACAAGCGGATAGAATCTAGCTTAAAGTCAAATATTCGTAGTGTATCGGGCCAAATTTGAGAATTCACGCCGCACCCTTCCGTATTGCAGCAGAACTGTGTGTGCACGCCACAACTAGTGTTGAACAATCCAAAAGCATGCAGTAAAACTGGTGGAGCAACTTACCTTTTGTAGAGTATCAACTTTGAGCTTGTCAAGCTTCTCCTTGTTCAATCGAACCGCTGACTGCGCTTCACGAAACTTCTCCAGCTGGCCGTCCGTGTCGGGATCGAGCTGAAACTCGCAAAAAAAAACTCCAAATTCGACTGATTGCAATTTTCCAGACAAACTTAAGAAACGTGGGAACTCATGGCCTTGTAGGTAGGGGATTGAAAACGGAGCATTTGAAAACCGCTGGCAGAAGGGTGAGAGCGTTGCAGCCACTGCAGCTTATTTAGGCCCTAGCACTCTTGTCGGTCGATTCCCATGCAAAGGAAGGTTTCTTCTGTTCCATAGACTTAAGGGAATCGTTCACAGGACTTCTGCCTGTATTGTGCCTTCGAGGCTCAATCCCAAGCATTGTAGGTGGCTCACTTGGATGTCCCCCCCCCCAACCCAATGACAGGAGCGCCGAAACTTGGTCACTTGACCAAATTGAGGCCTACTCACATTTCTGCTAATCATAAGAAAGAATTAGGTACAAAAAATCCAAAATCCACACCGTGCTGTTGCAAAAAAAAGAACAAGAAAACGAATAACTCAATTTAGTAGTAAAAAAAATTAGAATAATTTTTTTAACGAAATAACCTCTTCACTGGTCTTCTTCATCCACAACAGACTTCCTCGATATTCAAGGCGCGCTCGTTCGACAGCCTCCACCGTCTGAGCGCAATCAAAAATCGCTCGTTCCGTAAAGACATGTAACTCTTGGTAGAACCTGCAAATAATTTAACTAAAATCGAATTATTATACGGCTTAAATCAGGGCAGACACACCTTAACAGCGGCACACGAACGGCAGCTCTTTGATGACTGCTGAACATCAACGCTCGGCCAAGTGCTACCATCATTCGACCGGTCTCTTCTCGTTTATCAGCTTTTCCCTGATCCTTCAGGAATCGTCCCAGCTCATTTTCGCAGAGAGTCGAATCTAGAATGATGAGTTTTAAGTAATTTGAAGAATCAACTAATCAATCATTTAGATATAGGAAGCTGTTCACAGAATAGTACGAAATCTCTTCAATCCGCTCTGAGGAAGCTATTTCCAAACCACAAACTCGAGGCGATCCCAAAGATTCGCATGCCCTGCCGGCAAAACTTAGCCGCAGTAAACGCTTACTTGGCATGGAAGCGCGGCGAAGACGGCTTGCAATATTTCGGTATAATTCCGCTCCGCGTACGCATGCTTTCTTGGCATGTATGTATGCTCTGGCTGCGTTTTGGCTGTCCAGGACACATTTCGCAACGGCAGAAACGTGGTAGGGGATAGTCAACATTGCCAATTGAACTGCTGCCAGAAAAGGATAAAAAAAAGGCATTCAGACTCCCTGAGCGGCCCTTCATTTTTCTTGGACGGTGAGCCTAGGATACAACATTTCAGCAGATTGTGAGCGTCCAGGATGCAGATGCCACACAATGGAAGATCAGGGGCAGGTGCAGCAAGCCCCAACTCGGGGATGGGTCCCCAAAACTCTGCATCTCTGGACGCTTCCCCTATTCTTGACCATGAGAGTTGCGTCATCGACCAGAGTAGAGACGCAGAGTTTTGGGACCCATCCCCGAGTTGGGGCTTGCTGCACCCGGCCCCAGGGATTCATGGTGAGTGCCATGATTCATATCCTGCGACTCTGGCGCTCTTTCCAAGCGTTTGGTTCGCGGAAGTGGTCCCATACCCGAGAACTGACATAGTTATTCATTGGGAGGATTCGTCCCATGACATATTCATGGAAAGTCCCCATGAATACACAGCATACAAAACTCCATAAATAGACACGATCCCGCTTATGCCAGTCTGAATCTCAGAATTCCCATTACTTTTATGCATTCTCGTTGTCCTGGCCCTCCCTCGTCAGTCAATGTTCTTTGCTTGATTTAGTGCAATCCATAACAACGCTCTCATCGTTAACTACAGGCAACTAGCAACGACAGCCACATGAAAGGCGCAGAAAAACGTTCCCCCGCAGCTAATGACGCAGTGCAAATGGCTTAGTTCCCTTTGCTTATTGTTTATTAGATCGAGAAGATATGTCTCCTTCGGCGAACATACTTTAAA